GCAGTGCCTTCATTAAGTATTTTCTCTGTTTTTGGTTTTGCTGGCAAAAATCAATCTGCCGTCTATTCTATGTGCTGTTAAGTACAGCATTGTTTCTTTCATCAGTTTATTTTTCACCATTTCAATTTGTTCAGGTAATATCTTGAAAGCTGGGTGCTATTTAGTCTTTGCCTTTTCTGTGATTTCTGTGCAAACATGTAGCTGGTGCAAAGTCAGAGAGTTGAAAGTCAAATAATCTTGAATCTTTATGGGAGAAACAGATTGTACTAGATAGGACTGATTCTATATCATCTATGTTCTTTAGTAACCACTATTTCGGTGGTTCATCAGCATCAGTGGACTTCTTTCTTTTGGATGAGTTTTTCTTCATCGTGTTGGCTTTAGAGTCCATATTGTGTTGTTTGCTTTACCAGTGGCCAGAAAATGCTTCCAAGTCTGTTATATCCACCACAATGATGATTGTTTTGTTTCCTCTCCAGGTCTATAACTCACACCATGCCTGCACCCTTTTCTATTGGATGCTGTACCTTAACATAAACAGCCATAATCACTTCTGTGAAAAGTGGCTCTACTCCAGTCTGCATGTTGCAACCATGTGAGAGTGTGTGAAAATGTTAGACAATGTTCTTAGGAATAGAAAAAAACAACCAAACAACAAAAAATTGCACGAATATTTGTGTTAAAGGTTAATGAGGCTCGCAATACAAAGCGGATCTGCATGTGGATGGTCCATTTACCATCCACGTGCACTCCCAAGAATTTTAATTTTATAGCCCATCTCACATGTGATAAGTTCATTTACATGAATCACAGTGTCTAAATGTGGCTTAATTAGGTTTGCTTGAAGGCAAAATACCTGGCTAATCTTTAAATACACCTCTTAATTGTCGTTTTAAAGCCTGAACCACTAAATAATTACCAAAAGTACAACTTTTGTGTTTTGTGAAATCTCTTACAATATCCCCCCCCATACACACACACACACAAATACATTAAATATTAACTCATATATTTGCATATATGAGTTTAAAGTTGTATCATATTTGAAACATAGGGCTTTATTGTAATTTATTCCTTAAATGTCTCACAAACCCACAAAAACTCATTTATCTAATATGTTAAACGTGGCTTCAAAGGGTTAAATTGCTGCCTGTTTTCAAACTCATTGCATTCAGTTTAAAAATGTTAATCTAATTCTATAATCATGATTTATACTCCTGTCTCTTGCTTCTCTCTCATACTTCATGTAATGCAATATCGCAGCTTCTCTGGGCCAGTGTTTATTTTCTAAAACTCCCTCTTGCATCATCTACCACAACTGATGTGTGATCTTGTGGTTTGGCCTCTAGTGCCAATAGCACATCTATTTAATTTAAGGACCCTACTATATTAAATAGAAAATGGCCAACAATCACACGATCCCTTGTGAGCAAGTGTTTAGCAGTGGTGGAAAGGAAAAACTCAGTTTTAACAGGAAGAAATCTTCAGCTGAACAAAGCTCAGGAACAGGCTGAAGTCTGGCATTAGGGGAAAGAGGTTAAAGAAAAGCAACATCAGAGGGGACAAGGACAAAAAAGCTAAGAGAGAGAGAAGACAAAGTCGAATGACATGTAGTAGTGGTATATAAACACCTGAAGAGTGAAATAGGGTTTGTTGTGCAGTCATGCTAAGTACACCATAGGAAGCCCCCCTTGCAGCCTATTTACTGTAGGTGATGGTTCAGGCTCACCCCGATCCAGATCTAACTATAAGCTTTATCGAAAAGTAACGTTTTGAGTTTAATCTTAACACTAGAAAGGCTGTTTGTCTCCTAAACCCAAAATGAAAGCTGGTTCCACATGAGAGGGGCATGATGGCTGAAGTCTCTGCCTCCCATTCTACTTTAGCAAGCCTGCAGTCTGAGAGCAAAGAACTCTGTTTGGATAATGTAGTACCAACTGGGTCTTTAAGATATGATGGGGCCTGATTACTCAAGTATTTGTATGTGAGGAGGAGGATTTTCAGTTGGAGATTCGGCAGAGTCAATGAAGACAAGCAGGGATGTAGAAAGGAAATAAAACCTCCCTTTCCAGCCCCTGTCAATACTTTCACAGCAGTGTTTGGAGTTATCTGGGGGTTTTTGTGGAACTTTTAGAACAGCTCGATATTAAGGAACTGCTATAGTCCAGCCTAGAAGTAATAAATGCATTAACTAGCATTTCAGCAGTCTTAAATATTTGTTTAATGTCTACACCGAAGGAAATATCCTGTTCAAAAAGGTCTCCAAGATTCCTCACAGGAATCTCACTGGAAGCCAAGGTAAAGCCATCCAAGCTAAGCATCAGATTAAACACCATGTTTCTGAGATTTTTGGGGTCAAATATGATAACCTCAGTTCTCTCTGAATTCAGGAGGAAACAGTTCTCCTGTAAATGAAGGGCTAATTGTGTCCTGTAACTTTACTCAAAGAATCTGGTTGGGGCATTTTTCCTTCTGTTCACGATTTTTGCATTTCCACAGCTCTTGCTTCATCCTGCGTGTATTTATGCTTAGTTAAAATTATAGTGTCTCAGTTCCTGAATGGCTGCCTCAGTTTTTGAGAATTTAAATTCTTCACAGTAACAGCTTCTGTTCTGTTACAGCTAATGTATATCATCTACTAAACACAGTAGATGTTAACTTTTACTTCAACCCCTGGGCTCTGGATTTGCAGAAGACAGGAATGTTAGCATTTAGCATCATTTCCACATTCACTACATTTCCCCTTTGATCTTTCAGCTAGAGGGAGGTTTAAGGCCTTGTCACTTTTATCTTTAAACTTGACAACAAATCTACCTTCCTCTTTAAACTTTACCATTTTCCCTAATTTCCCAAGAACCCCCCACTTTAACTACTATTCTCTGATCTGTCTCTTTTATGTTGTTTTACTAGACTTTTTTTATACAGCTACCCTTTCCCTCTTTGCTGGAAAGGCCAAAAGAGCTTCTATTAAACGACTTTTAGATGTTACCATATCAGCCAGTGTCTTGTACAGAGACACTAAATATCCAAAGCAACTTCTGCCTTCACATCTCTGACCTCTTTAACTTCAGCCTTCTTTCCCTTCCTTTGTTTTTGTGCCCACACGCTCTTCTTGAATTCTTTCCTCTTGTGCCTCTTTTCCAGTCAGCTCCACTTGTTTTGATAGTGGTGTGACCCATGTTATTTTATTAGTTTATATGTCATTTTCCGAGTCCTTCCTGTGTAATTCCTTGTCTCTGCAATTTGTTACATACCCATAAGTCTGCTAGGGTCCAACTGGGCCAGAAAAATGTTAAGCTTATCAGATGTTGATGGTAAAGTCTCATCTACAGAGCCTTTACATAATAATGTACTAAATACAAATGCACGCTTCAGGTAGGTGAAAGCACTGTTACAAGAATGACGCCTTGGCTGTTGTTTCTACAGCTGTGTGTTTCAGCGTCTGCAGCAGGGTTTAATCGCTGCGTTCCTTTTAAACCACCTTCTGGATAATCCCTTTGTTTTCTTGTTTTTATTTTTCTCAGACTTTACGTGGGCTTGCCTGTTATATCTTTTGACTTCTTTTAAAGTTCTGAATGTGTGACCCACTCGCTCATAGAAAAAACCAAAGCCAAACTCAAAAACAGAATTTGAATGAGCCGATGTAAATTCATAAGCCCACTGGAATGTGAAGCTAAAGAGGCTTGTGATTTTTCACTCCTTTTTAAGAAAGAGAAACCTAACGCATCTTTAATACCGTTCTTCATTGAAAGGGGACCAAGTAATTGAATATGGCGAAGGTTAATCTGCTGTATTTTCACACATAAAGACAAGTAATGGTTCTGTCTGCTTAGAACATATTAGAGCTGCTGAGTGGAATCAACCGGGAAAGATGACTCACAATAAAACAGACAACTGTGCTGCTGCCCTGTGATTTCTAATATTCAGAGGCGCTAATGGACACTGAGACTGGCTCTGCTTTCTTTCTTTTGCCAGTACATGGGGATGCATTCAATGACCTGATGCAGTAACACTGTCTACCGTAGTAGACAGGGTTCCATCTAGTTCAAGCCACAAATATATTGATCTTTTTTCCAAAGAAGATAGGGCACTTGCTAACCACAGCAACATCCCTGCAAAAGCTCCACTTTGGTGATGTTTCCATGTGGAAAATCACTCTTGTTACAATATTGCCAGGATTAAAGGGCGCAAAGGTGGTGGCAGGTTTACCTCAGTCATTTGGTTGATAACAATATTGTATTTTGGTTCAATGAAGCTCCTTAAAAAAAAAAACTGGTGAACAACATTTGCTTTGCCCACACTGCAGCTTCCAGGGCTTAAAAATGAAGCTAATACTGAAGTGCCAAAAACTGCCGCTCCTCCAATGGCTACTTTATGAATGGGTCCAAAAGCGAGTCACTACCTGTAGACCCCCATGTTAAAATGCCCATTCCACAGCTTTGTACAAAATGTGGCTTTGTTTTCAAAGAATCATTTACTCAAAAAGCAACAACTCTAAACGGCTGTTTTGTTCTTTTTCTTCTTTCAAATTTACCTTTTCATTTGTCCATGTGGTACAAACCCTTAAAGAAGCTTTTTGATCCATTTCATGTGAGTGACATTTTAGTCTGCTAGTAGTAATTAGCAGGTTTATCTGTGGGTATGCATCTCCTGGGTATAATAATAATAATAATAATAATAATAATAATAATCCTTTTTTAAAATAACAGCCCAGATTTTTTTTTGTTTGAACTGAAATAAATAAGACTTGTGTAATTTAGTTGGTTTTTTTTTTTCTAAATTAGTGATTAGAAACCAGCTTTGTCCAGAAGTGCTAACATTCTGCATGCTGATTGGTCGGCTAAGGATTTACAGGTCACGCTCCCTTGACAGCAATAGTTTACCAATGATAACTAGATGTTGTAAGTGTAATTAAACCACGCACCTAATTAGATTTGTGCATAGAAAGCTGCTGGCTGTGATGGTCAAAGGTGATTGCTATCAGGGGACTGTTGCTGGAAATTACCTGCTGATACTTGCAGGAAAACAAAATGGTGAAAGGCATAAAACAGCTTGTGGCGCTGTGGATAATACTCGAAGAAAGCTATTTTATTGCGCTAGAAATCTTAAATAATAACAATTTAAAAATGAACTTTCACATTTTACTTACACGTTTTTGAGTGTTTTAGTCCAAACTGGTCATCAGCTAGCGTCTAATTAGGTCATCATCGGAGGCCTCACTCCCTTCATTCTAATTAAGGATAATTACACCAGAGGCAGCCGTCAAAACAAAAGCTACTGTTCCTTTAAATCTTCACTCCTTTCAAATGTTTTGGAGCGAGGGAGGGAAATACAGTGAAAAGGAGACGAAACCACATTGTCAAGGAAAAGGAGAGAGGAAAAAAGAGACCCACGCGTAAACTGACACTCCCCTTGAACACATGCACCAGCGCACTGACAGTCTGACCAGTGCCGTCCAGCCGCCTGAAGCACAGCGCCCGCTGTTTGCATGTGTTCACCCCCCTTTGGACTTGGTGGGAGGGGGGAGAAGTTTACCCAAAGACCAGCCTGGATCACTGAGAGAGACGATGCCTTTTTCCTCCACACCGGTCTCACGATTCTTCAGTGGATTTGCTGATTCCCACAATTAACCTTGCAAGTTATTCATCGGGAGTGGGGCGAGATTTCGAGCCAGAGGATGCTCCCACAGGTCATTCGGATACTGTATGTCTTGTCTTTCTGCTTTTTCCAAGGAGTCTTTATCAGGTGAGGGAGCAATCTGCTTTTCTCTCAGTGTTTGTGCGAGTTATTTTCTCTCTCATCAACTGCTTCGCATAAACTTTTTCTTTTTAATTTAAACCATTTTAACCGACGCTACTGGCTGTAAGACATCTGGCATTTGTTTACTTATTTAAAAGACTTTCTTAGAAATTAACATCTAAACGTTTTAAATGCTGGCTTGAAGGGGGGATGGAAGACTGGTACATACGAGCAAGAAACCAGTCAATTAATTAATTAATTAATAAAAAAAAAAAACTAGACCTGCTGTTTACGCACAGAACAAAAAGATGAAGAAACCACGGAGCCACTAAACCCTGTTTGCCCAGAGGTGTCAGACTACCTGTGGAATTCCCGGTTGCATTGAAAGGTTGAGTGATGGCTTTTGTGGGTCGTTGAAATCGCTACATTAATACTCCAGTGTAGGATAATCGTGGTCGTGGTGCTGAACAGTTTAACGGGAGCCAGTGATTACAAAGCTTGCTGGGGTTATAAAAACTAATAAAGCTGCTGCATACTGAACATTTGGATGCATGTTTGAAAATGGGAGCTGGGAGTGGAGTATATTGTTTCTGTGCTTAGTTTATTCACTACTGCAGGAAATGTCATTCATTGTGGGTTCTAGAACACGTTTTATTTCCACGCCATCATTCTTTCACTCAGTCCATCTAACAATAACCAAGCTCCTCTGTCTTCTTCTTCTTTCCATGTCACCTTCCTCTCGTCCTCCCTCAACCTCTCTCCCTCCTCTTGGTGGCAAAAAGTTTTATTTGCAGTGAACACTTTTCTTATTTCATGCCCTGCCACCCTCAGGTGTGAGCGGAAGGGAATTAAGATCTGCATAATCCCAGAGCGGAACAGAGCAGTGACTCCGTGAACCCAGGGGCGAGGAGAGCAGCTCTTAGCCTGGAGAGCAGTCAACTGACAGCACCTCCTCTGACAAATTATATGCTCTCCTACCAGTCATTCTGCTAGCCACGTAGGGAGGGAGTGGGAGGGAGGCATGAAGGAAAAGGAAGGGATTAAGGTGTAAAAGACAGGCAGAATCAGATGGAGTCAATGGACATGTTGGGGGAATGATGGAAGATGAAAATGGGAATGGAGCAACCTGGGATGGGAAGAAATGGGAACAAGAAATTGAAAGAGTGATTCATTTAGCTGGAGGTGGTGTGAAGATTAGCAAAGTGGAGAATGAGACTGGTAGATGGAGAGAAATGGTTCAGATAGGAGAAACGAGATGAGATGGAGAAAGAGGGGGAGGTGTATGTTAGGTGGGAAGTGCTGTAAGAGATTTGGGGGGAAAAATGTCATGTGAAATAGTGCTCATCAAGCAGGATGGACATATGTTTTGGACTGGGTGTTTGTCAACAAGAGGAAATGCGAAACGGGAACCAAGGGTGTAATAACCAAGTTCTTATCATACTCTGAGGGTTGGGAGATGGTTATGTGTTGACGTGTGTATGTAGAAAGAGGCGATGTTGTGTCTCTTTAACTTGAATGACAACCTGGAACAAAACCTGACACGTTCTCTTTTCCTGAAGCTTTTCTACCATCCACTTCATTTCTTTGTGTGGTATCCCAGACAATTTCTGACCCTGCAAGAGGAAACTTAAAAATGCTAAGTTTTAATTGCAAAGTTGTTGATTTATGTTAATTTAAGCATTTTTAAAACTTGCACTCACAGAACTGAAACATGACAAACATAAAGATAAGCATGGTGCTTTGCTGCAAGTCGTATTTTAAGTCCACAGCACTTAAACAACTAACTTATACATAACTTCTAAACTTTTGGCTTTTGGATATTTTCTTTTGCATTTTATCGCACTACTGCAAGAGAAACACCAGCTGGCTGGATTATATTAGCTGTTTCCCTTGCTATGGTTCGTGCTTGCTCACCGTTACAGTTTACTGGACACTTTAACAGAACAGTGCCACTGTAAATGTTCTTGCTAACACCTTATTGCCAACACCTTTTAAAATATTAGCTGTGAAAAATATTGTGTGCATTTGCAGAACAGGGTTTCCTGAACTTGATTTAAAATAACTGTTTAAATAAAGTAAAGCTGGATCAGAAAATGTGAAAATAGCTAAAGAAATTAGCTTTGGCTTAGTCATGAGTTTTTGTTTTAGTCATACTGCCTCATTATTTTTAGAACGCACATTATAATGGGGAGCTATGAAAGTGGACCAATTATGTTTTCATTTTTTTCTGTTATAGTCTTAAAGTTGATAATATTCACTTAAACACGGCCAAGTGTCAGATAAAATTGAAGCAATCCACGTGAGCCTAAAGCTCAGGCTTCACTTTTTTTCTTCTTCTCTATTAATGACTCTATATGATTTTCATAAGAGTGATTATCTCTAATAAGGTACTCCAGGCACACAGGTCTGCTGCTTATGGAAGCCACACCCAACTGCTGTTCAAACTTCCTGTTTATAAGCGGCATCCTATCAGAAGTAGGTTAGGTCAAAGAGAGGCTGGCCTTGAAAGCAAAGGAGCCAAAATGGCTTGTTTCAGACAGCAGATGAATTGAGAGGCTGCAACATGGCTCAGCATGAGGTTTTTAAAAAAACTGAGTTATGCGAAGCTACTCTAGCCAAATCCAAGAATTTAAAAAATAATAATTAGCTGCAAATTAGCTAAAGAGGTCCACATTACAACAGAGAACTTCTGCCACCGTCACTTCTGACTAACACCTTTTGATGTGTTGTCTGAATGGGACTTTCCACATGGTAGAACTTGAATTTTTCTCTTTGGGGTGTCCAGTGAAAAACGAGTTGGTTGTTGATACTGTAATAAAAAAAATAGCCAAACTATCACACATGAAGTCTTCACCATGTGAACATCACATCAGAGGAAATTGTGCAAATATGTCCCTGACCTCTGGTCATCTGACATGTGTACTGGGAAATTGCAAGAGAAGAGTAGTGGATTGCATGAAGTGAAGGGCAGAGGATTGCACACCAAGGATCTCTGCTGTCCTTGCCTGCAGTCAGCTAGAGATCATGAGTCAGAGCTTAAAAAATATCAGAGAGTAAGTCTTATCAGATGGAGCTGGGCACTTGCGAGCCTGATTAGAGTGTGAGTGAGTGAGTGTGTGTGCACGCACAGGCAGGCATATGTGAGAGCATGGTGGTTCAAGAGGAGGCATGGGATCTTTCCCTCTTAACTGTAATGCATTAATTGGAGTAGATAAAGACTTAACATGACCCCAAACCTCAACTTGAGAAAATAGGTCAGCCATAAACATTAAACAATATATTAGTGACATATTTGGAGATAAACATGATCAAAAATTCTGCAACCCAGTTAGAGACATAAAAGAAGTTATTTTTACTTTTTAGATTCTTCACTGCATTGCTGGCACGTTCTGTTTCTCATATTTAGTTTATAATGTGAGGAGTAGTTTTAATGCAGTGTCACTGCATTTGCAAGGAAAGTCTAACTTAAAATTTTGAACTCTTTAAAAAAAGATTTGTGTCTCAGTGACTAACTGGCCTAATTAAAACATTGTATTGAAATGATGTGTACACCACTGAGATACTTCTAGTGTTACTGCAGTTATAATAACAGAATAAGTCTGAACTAGGAGTGATGTCACTGCAGAGTTGAGCATGTTCCAGTAGTGAAGTTGGAAAATCGAGAAAAAACAGGATTTGTTTTGCTCCTTAGCAAGGTTTATGTTCACTGCCGCCATCTTGGATTGTTACTCTGGGGTTGGCCAGGCAGCTCCGAATTTCAGATTTGGAAATCCGACTTGAGGGGGCGTTCCAGTTGGAAATTCTGACTTCTACCTTAAACTGGAATGTGCTTTAGCTGAATACATCTCCTGGAAGATATTGATCAGCTTAGGATTGTCGTTCAAATATTTGTGATGGGGGAAGTGACTGGAAAAGGGTTACTGTGTGGCGGTAAGCATGGACGACACAGAGCTCTCAGTTCTCACTCCTTTTTTTATTCCTCTCCAACATCAACTGAACACATCGCGCCACAAAACACAGCAACACACTTCCTCAACACGGGTGTGAGTGGAGCCCTCTAGTGGTCCGCCACAACTGTACTATTACAAATTGAAAAGTTGCTGTTCTTAAGGCTTGTGAGACAAGCATTTTAAAGATGTATATCAAAATCTATGCGATATACAGTCCAAGGGGATCAGTTTTGGCCAGTGAGCTGATCTAATGGCACGTCAGCTTTTTTTTAACCTTATGTCAAATTTCATGAAAATGGTTTGTAGAAAAGTTAAGATGCAGGAATCGATGTCTTTTTGGAATAAAATGTCTGCCATAACAGTGCTAATTGACATTTAGCAAGCTTGATGTTTCTTTTGAAGCCCGTTCTAAAACAACTGCTAAAGAACAGAAAAAGGACTTCTTTATAGTAAGCTCACTGGAAAGAAGTAAATACGATTTTTAGCCAATACAGACTTCAAAAGCTCTGTTTCTGGGCGAGGACAAAATCTTTCTGTGATAGCTTTTAATTAAATTCTGATGGTCCTCCCAGCTGGCACAGAAGTATCTGCAACAGCAAAGCAATATCTGGAGGCTAGTAAACAGCAGAGAGAAGAGGACTGCAAAGATTGTGTGCCTTCACTTTAAACATTTTGCAGCCCACAAGGAGTTGTCCAAATCACTTGTATGGGGAAAATCCCGGTGAGAAAATGCCTGGCTCTTCCATCAGAGAAAACTTTTCCATGCATTTTTTAAACCCTTTGAAAATTAAACTTCACATGTGACGTGTGTAGCGGGGTTTTAAAAGACGGCTGCACATGGCAAGACAAAGAAACAAATCGTTAGGGTCTAACAGTGATTTCACCTTGAGTTAGACTTTAACAAACACTTTTGGGGTTTTCTCATTCTTTCCAAAAACACAGAAAATCCCCACACACTTGGTTGATACACAGATTAGAGCAGCAAGGAGTACTGGCAAAAGGAAGTGTGAAAGGAGAACAGATGGGATGTTTATGTGAGTTAATGACGAAAAAATG